GGCTTACTAATTAATATATATAAAAGTATATAGGCGAGGCGTGGTGGCTCATGTCTGTAATTCCAGCACTTAGGGAGGCCGAGGTGGGCAGATCACTTGAGTCCAGGAGTTCAAAACCAGCCTGGCCAACATGCTGAAACCCCATCTCTACTAAAAACATAAAAATTAGCCAGGGATGGTGGCAGGTGCATGTATTTCCAGCTACTTGGGAGGCTGAGGCAGGAAGAATTGCTTGAACCTGGGAGGCAGAGGTTGCAGTGAGCTGGAGCGCCACTGCACTCCATCCTGGGCGACAGAGCAAGACTCCATCTCAAAAAAAAAAAAAGACTATATATCAGCACAGAACCTAACAAATACCCCAAAGCTCATTTGGAACAGGCCTAGTCAATTTATCACCCAGACTTTAAGGTTCTATATGCTTTAAAAAGGTGAAGAGAAAAAAAAGGGAGACATTGAGGGATTCTTGGAAAAGTGTCTTGTAATTTCGTAAGTACAATTACATCACGCAAGCTTCAGGTATTCTAAGTGGGGTGTCATGTCATCACTGAGCTTTTTAAGTGTTTCCACCCAATTTTAAAGTCTTTGATTTGATTTAAAAATGTTTTAATTTGTTGGTATGTTAGTAAATTATTAAGGCTTACAATTTTCTGTTCATGCATATTCTACTAACTTTAAAATAAAACATGTTAATGCATTTCTTGAATACAGTAAGGAGCAAAATCATGTATATTTTTGAGTTTTGTTCCTATTTGAGACAAGATGTTTTAATTCTTCCATTTCCTTTTTGTTTTTTGACACTACAATCTAGGGCTTTTGATTCAGATAGCTATTACCTTTTTTTTTTTGAGACGGAGTCTTGCTCTGTTGCCCAGGCTGGAGTGCAGCGGAGCGATCTTGGCTCACTGCAACCCCCGCCTCCCAGGTTCAAGTGATTCTCCTGCCGCAGCCTCCCAAGCTGGGATTACAGGTGCGCACCACCATGCCCAGCTATCTATTACAATTTTTTATAAAACACTTTTAAGGCCAGGCACGGTAGCTCACGCCTGTAACCCCACCACTTTGGGAGGCTGAGGAGGGCGGATCACTTGACGTTGGGAGTTTGAGACCACCCTTACCAACATGGAGAAAGCCTGTCTCTATTAAAAATACAAAATTAGCCAGGTGTGGTGGCACATGCCTGTAATCCCACCTACTCGGGAGGCTGGGGCAGAAGAATTGTTTGAACCTGGGAGGCAGAGGTTGCAGTGAGCCGAGATTGCACCATTGCACTCCGGCCTGGGCAACAAGAGAGAAACTCCGTCTCAAAACAAACAAACAAAAAACAAACAAACAAAAAACCACTTTTAATTTCTTTTATTTTATATACACTTTTTCACACTAGAGGTACAACTATTTCTATTTTAATGTGTTTCAGCATTCATCACTTGTCTATTTATATGATGACTTTCTTATATTTTTTTTATTGTAGTAAAAGATTCATAACATAAAATTTACCATTTTAACCGCCTCCCTTTTTTTTCTTTTGAGACAAAGTCTCGCTCTGTTGCCCAGGCTGGGTGGAGTGCAGTGGTACGATCTCAACTCATTGTAACCTCTGCCTCACGGGTTCCAGTGATTCTCCTGCCTCAGCCTCCTAAGTAGCTGGGATTATAGGTGTGCATCACCATGCTCGGCTAATTTTTGTATTTTTAGTAGAGATGGGGTTTCACCATGTTGGTCAGGCTGGTCTCGAACTCCTGACTTCAAGTGATCCTCCTGCCTTGGCCTCCCAAAGCGCTGGGATTACAGGTATGAGCCACTACTCCCAGCTATTTTAATCATTTTTAAGTATACAATTCTGTGGCATTAAGTACATTCACATCATTGTGTGGTCATCACCACTCTCAAATCACCACATCTAGAACATTTTCATCTTCCCCAACTAAAACTATGTGCCCATTAAACACTAACTCCCCATTCCCTCTTCCCCCAGCCCCTGGCAACTTCCCCTTTACTTTCTGTCTCTGTGAATTTGACTACTCTAGGTATCTCATATAAGTGAAATCAGCAATATTTGTTCTTTTGTGACTAGCTTATTTGACTCATCATAATGTCTTCATGGATCAACCATGTTGTAGCATGCATCAGAATCTCCCTCCTTTTGAAGGCTGAATAATATTTCAAGGTATGGGATTCCATTGTATGGCAGGACCACATTTGCTCATCCACTCCTCTGCTGATGAACACTTGGGTTGCTTCTAGCTTTTGGCTACTGTGAATACTGCTGCTATGTATATGGGTGTACAAGCATCTGTTCGAGTTCCTGCTTTCATTTCTTTCAGGTATATACCCAGAAGTGGGATTGCTGGGTCACATGGTGATTCATGTTTCACTGTTTGAGGAATCTCCTTATATTATGGCTTATTTTTTTTTAACTCTATTTTGTGTTATCTTTTGACCACCCAAGAAGGTTTTATGAAGAGTTTATGTTTGATGCACTCGCATATTTTACATATTTTTTTTTTTTTTGAGATGGAGTTTCGTGCTTGTTGCCCAGGCTGGAGTGTAGTGGCATGATCTCGGCTCACTGCAACCTCTGCCTCCTGGGTTCAAGTGATTCTCCTGCCTCTGCCACCCGAGTAGCTGGGATTACAGACATGCACCACCACGCCCAGCTAATTTTTTGTACTTTTCTTAGTAGAGACGGGGTTTTACCATGTTGGCCAGCCTGGTCTGGAACTCCTGACCTCAGGCGATCCACCCACCTTGGCCTCCCAAAGTGCTGGGATTACAGGCATGAGTCACTGTGCCTGGCCGCACTTGCATATTTTCTGTTGCTGTTAGAAATAGACGATCTGCTCTAAAATTCCCAAGTGACAATTCTTTCTCTCGAGAACTTTGCACACACTGCTTACTATCTTCTGGCATTCAGTATAAAGATGAAAAGACTGAGCCCTTTCTGACATGTTCCTTTTTAATAGCTTCTTTTGTTTTGTTTTCCTGTTCATGGATTCTTTTGGAAGTTTTAAAAGTTTATAGAAAAAACAAAAGGAAAAAAATTGCCATGTGTGGGTGTCTCTGCTTGAAATAGGGCAGATCTCTTTAATTAGAGAAATGGTTTTCCTCACCTGAGGAAAATTCCATTTTACTTTCTGTTGCTATGAAATATATTTAATATTGCTTATTTGCAATTTTTCTAGTTTCTCTTTTAGGAGCACTAATTAATTTCATCTTCAGTCTCTACTCTCTTTTCCTCTAAAGAAGTCTTTTTCATATCTTTCTTTTCCATCTATATCAGGGACTGGCAAACACCAGTCCATGGCCTGGCCTGTTTCTTTATGTCTGTGAACTCAGAATAGCTTTTACATTTTTAGCGGGTTGTAAAAACAAACAAGAATATGTGACAAAGAATGCGTGGCCTGTAAAGCCTAAAATACTTTCTGTCTGGCCCTTTACGGAAAGTTTGCCGACCTCTGGTCTTCACCCAGGAAGCTTCTCAGGTTCATTCTCTCCATTGGTAATTCTACTTTTTCTTTTTCTTTTTTTTTTTTTGAGACAGAGTCTCGCTCTGTCGCCCAGGCTGGAGTGCAGTGGCGCGATCTTGGCTCACTGCAAGCTCCGCCTCCTGGATTCACGCCATTCTCCTGCCTCTGTCTCCCGAGTAGCTGAGACTACAGGTGCCCGCCACCTCGCCTGGCTAATTTTTTTGTATTTTTAGTAGAGATGGGGTTTCACCGTGTCAGCCAGGATGGTCTCAATCTCCTGACCTTGTGATCTGCCCGCCTCGGCCTCCCAAAGTGTTGGGATTACAGGCGTGAGCCTCCATGCCAGGCCGGTAATTCTTTTTCTTACTGTGTGATTTCTGATGTTGGTTCTTTACCACTGCCTCCAGTAAACCTTTCAATTTCAATCACATTTTTAGGTTCTTGGCAATGTTCCTTATGCCGTCTTCTTTTCAACCACGTAGTTGTCTTTTCATCTCAACCTCTCTGCTTTCTATGGCTTTGGCCTGTCTTCACTATTTCCTCATAAGGCTCCAGGATGTTCTGCTGTTTGTATATCTGCTGTCTGTATATTCCCTCTTTACGCACATTGGCACATGGCAGTACTTGGCCAGACTCAGTGTTTATTGACTGTCGTTGGTTCTCTCTCTACCTAGATGATGGTTAAGGATCTGCTTCTGATGTATCACCTCTGGGCACGTTTAGGCACAAAGCTTCTAACAATCCAGTCCCCAGCTTTGGATTGACTTTCCCCTAGTGCAGGAGTCAGCAAACTACCGGTTGTGGCCTGTGTGCCCTGCTAGGTAAGAGGTTTTTACATTTTTTTTAAAGGATTGTTAAAACAAACAAAATACACAAATAAAAATTTAAGAATAATATGTGACAATGACCCACAAAGCCTGAAATAGTTCCTATGTGATCTTTTACAGAAAAAGTGGCCAACTGCTGTCTTGGATGGAATATCTCTACACTGGTAGCATCTTCTCTTCCCTCCTGTTTGCTTCTCTCAGCTGATGGTGTGCATCCCACATCTGCAGTCCCTGTAGGCATTGCCAGCAGCACCCTTGCCATCTGAGCTCCTACCTACAGGATTTTACTTACTGGGCCTATAATTCAGAAGGAACCAAACTACCCCTGATTCTTGGCAATTTGTTTTTGCATAATGCTGTTTCTGTCCAGAGACAGAAAAATGCATGCAGGGGTTGTGGATGTCATAGCGGAGGTGGTGGTGCTATTGGAGAACAGAAGGCAAGCTGCCAGGAGAAAGGGATTGGTATCCACAACAAAGAGGGGTGACTCTCATTGTCAGGTTAATATGAACCCCAGATATTTGTGTTAAGGGCGAGCAATGAGGGATACAACAAGTCTTTTTACTCTTCCTTTTTTTTTTTTTTGGTCAAAAGAATTCCATTGCAAAAAAAAAAAAGGTTGTAAAATCACTAAGTGAAGGTTTAAAGATAACAGCCTAACATGATGATCTATTTATACATTAAACCAAAAAACAATAATTAATGTTACCTGTAATCATGTACTATTTTTCTTGCACTCTCTAGTTGTTCGTTTGTTAACAGAATGTTCCTGGGGTCAGTTACAGTGAAGAAATGATTGGCTCGTCCAATGAAAGTGCTTTGATCCCATCGAGGTTCCTTGATGTTAATGTTTGGTGGCAGTTCTCCAGACATGGTCCCGGACTGCAAAGAGTCAAAAAGGCAAATTCAAGTAAGGCTTACAATGTCACTACATATTTAGAAACTTTATAGTCACTTTTAATTTTCAAGTAAAGGTTTACGTACTCTTCCTATTTATAAAGATAATTTTGCTATAAATGGCAAAAAGGCCATCTAAATTCAAAGCTAACTTTGTCTATAAATCTCAATTGATCTTAACTAAATTTCAATAGTTTCCTACATATTTCTCTTTATAAATACATAGTATTTTAATATTTACTTGTTGAATACTTAGAATTACTCTGCAGAAAATAAAGGTATGAAGTTTTAGGAGAGGTGCGGCGGCTCACACCTATGTTCCCAGCACTTTGGGAGGTCGAGCAGGGAAGATCCCTTGAGCCCAGGAGTTTGAGACCAGCCTGGACAATAAAGCAAGACCCCATCTCTACAAAAAATTTTAAAAAACTATCCAGGCATGGTGGTGCATGCCTATAGTTCCAGCTACTCAGGAGGCTGAGGTGGCCGTGGGGTGTGAGGACTGCTCGAACCCAAGAGTTGGAGGCTGTAGTGAGCTGTCATCATGCCACTGCACCCCAGCCTGGGTGACAAAGCAAGACCATGTCTCTAAAAAAAAAAAAGAAGTTTAAAAATAATAACAGTAACAAGGCCTGAAGTTTGAACCCATTTTTCTGAGTGAAACAGCCAACGTCAAACTACTAAAGTTGTTTAAAGCCTACTAAAGTTGTTATTCCTACTAGGAGAAATGACTAATGATTTTAAAAAGGTTTAAATGCTAAAAATTACACAACTAAAAAAGATGCAGATTCATTCAGCCTTGTTTAGCACATAAACCACCAATCAAAAATTAAGAATTATGTTCTTCAAGCTACCAGGAACATAGTGGGAAAAACACATTTGCATAGCCCCATGAATAGGAATAACTCTGTAGCATATAATTATCCTCATAAAATTTTTATTTTCTGGCTAAAGAGCATTACTTTTTTTCCAAAAGTAATTAATTTCTTTCTCTGAGTAATACATGTTTATTTTAGAACTGCGTTGTATTGTTGTAATAGATGCTTACTGTGGTATTCTGAAAAACACAAGCTTATTATAGAAAATAAAGAATAAAGAAACAAAATCTCCCATAATCCAGGCACTCTGAAATCATCGTTAATGTTTTGGTACCTTTCCTTATAGATATTTTCTATACATGTTATTATACAATTAAAAAAATAGTTGATATCACACTGTGTATTCTAAAATCCCGATTTTTTTGCACTTATTTCATGAGCATCGTTGTGGCCGCTGTTCATTTTGGATATATAACTACACCTTTAATGTTTAAGTGGTTTTTGGTTTTTCACCATGACATATAATTGCTTATCCCTGTCTATGCATGTTTGTTCTTACAGCTAGTGATTTCCTCAGACTAGCTCTCTCTGTGTGATATTAGTAGGCCAAAGGATTTTACCCACTATGAAGGTTTCAAACCATGGCTTACTTACACCTGCTTCCCTTCCCTACATTTCTAATACCAGTTTTAATTTTAATTCACTTTTCAGGTCACTTTTCCTTAAGTTACTTTCTTAGTGCTTTACAGGTTCGGAGGTATATTAAGATGTCAGATGCAAATACTGGGCATTCCTGTAAGGCATATGTTCTCAAAATCTCCAATTAACACATATCATGGACCACAGGATCAAAACTCAGCATGTGAGGTCCACGGATGTGAGGAGTCTAGTGTATGGAAAACAGTAGGGCGGTGAGAGTGAGAAGGTAAGAATCAGCCCTGCTATTCCTAGAGCAGGCTGGGGTAACAAACACAGAGAAGGCCAGCCAGAAAGCTAATGGGAAGCCTATTTTCCCCAAGGTCAGAATGCAGCTATGTGGTGTCATAGTAGTTCTCTTTTTTTGTGACCACTGCTTTCTCATCTCACTGAGAAATCTTGTTACCTATCATCACAGACGGTCAGAAACTTAGCTACTTGAAATCCTAACACACAGAATGAAACATCCCACTCTGGACACAGAAAGCCCGCCCAGATTTCCAGCCCCGGCGCAGAGCTTCAGATTAGGAAACTTTTGGACACAACGTTGCAAGTCCATCTTAACTTTGTAGCTTCTAAGGAAACAGGGATGTGGTAGTGATAGTGAGAATTACAGTTAAAAGGGAAGAGAGAATAGTTTGTATTCAATTTTCTGAGAAAAATCTGTATCAGATCTCCACCGGGGAACATCACAGTCCACCTGGGCCTGAGGGCAGGCACAGGAGGGTAGAGAAGGGTGCAGGGAAGGAAATGGCTCATGGCCTCATGTACAGCCACAGCCTGGTACCCATCAGCATGAGGTCCACACCCAGAGTGCAGGCTGAATCCCATGCCCAGCCTTGTGCTGGACCTCCTGGATCAGAATCTCTAGGAGGATAACATTTGTCTGTTTCAAAAGCTCTCCAGATGATTTTGATGTGTTCCACTGGTTCAGAACCATCGATCTGCGCCAGCAGCTTCGCAGGAATAAACAGTTCCCCGAGGAGGGAAGTTGAATGTGCTGTGCAGTGTCTTCCTTCTTGCTACCACCATCATGGGGATACAAGAAATGTATGTCATTGTATGCAGACATGACTAAATTTTGAATTAGAATATATCAAGCGTATTACAAAAAGCAGAGTCCAGTTCATATTCTGAAAAGCAGCCCTTTTCAGACTTGTCTACAGAGGCTTGGGCTCTGCTGAGGCATCTTAGCAACCTGTAGGGCGTGCAGGCGAATTCAAGCAGGTGGGTTCACATGCTGGCCCCTGTCCATGAGCCACATTTTGAAGTTACAATTACGTGTATTACACAGCATTTGTTTCTATCCTTAGAGGTCATCAAATAAATGCCATACGCAATCATACAACTGAATAAGACAGAAAATCTGGCCTAATTTCCTCCCCTTTCTGAATGAGCCAATAAAAGATATAATTCCTACTCTCAAGTAGACCATAGTTTAAATGCATAACAGAATAAATACTTAGGAGAAAAAAAAAATCTGCTAGCTTTGTTTTTTCTATAAGGCCTAAAAAAAATGCTGCTATCTTTAATATATATTTATTGAGCACCTACTACATGACAGACTCTTGGGCTGTATCAGGGAACAAAGACGACAAAAATTCCTGCCCTATTGGAGCTGACGCTGGGATGGCAGAGGTGAAAGGAAAACAGGCAATAAACAAAAAACACAAAAGATAAGTAAACTATTCATTATATTAGAAGACAGTAAATGGTTTGGGGAAAACAAACAAACAAACAAACAAACAAAAATACCCCAGAACAGGATAAGAAGGATCATGAGCAGCACTTGCATTTTTAAATAAGGTAGTCAGGGCATGTCTCATTGAGAAAGTAATACTGCAGCAAGACCAGAGGACAGTGAAGAATTGAATCGTGTGGATATCTAGGGGAAGAGCATTCCAGGCAGAGGGAAAAGGTATTGCCAAGACCTTAAGGCAAAAATGCATCTGGTGACTTCAAAGAACAGCAAGAAGGCATGAGCTGGAGTGGAATAAGGAAGCAGGAGATGGGAGATGAGCAGGTAAGAGATGCAATGGCTTAGGTTGGAGTCAGATGATGTAGGTCGTGTAGCCTCTGTAAGGCCTTTGCATTTCACTCTGCAAAAAATGGGAGTCATCGGAGGGTTCTGATGAGAGGACTGAAATGAACAGACTCACAATTTGAAAGGATCTCTCTGGCTGCTGTGTGGAGAACAGACAACGGGGAGATAAGAGTGGACACAGGAGGAGCAGCTGCAAGGTTCCTGCAGAGATCCAGACAGAGCCGGGGGCAGCGCAGGTGGCAAGAGGTACTGGAGCTCTTGGTATTTCTTCAGTGGTGCCAGCAGGATTTCTTGACACCTCACACTCGTGGGATGTGAGAGAAAGGAAAAGCAAGGTTCCTAAGTATTGGGTTGGAAAAACTGGAGGAGGAGAGAGGGCCAATGGAGAAGACAGGAAGCTCAGATTTGCCCGGAGTAAGCTTGAGGCACCTAGCAGGCATCAAGTGGAGATGTCCAGCGGGCAGCAGAATGAGCAGGTCTAGGTTCGGGGGAGAAGTCTAATCTGGAGATTATCCGTGGGAGTTGTCAGACAGAGATTATATTTAAAGTCATGGGATGTGATGAGATCACCAGGGAAGTGAAGGTAAATAGAGAAGAGATCCAAAGACTCTGGTGTGAAGAGGTCAGAAAGGACCGAAGGCACGCACAGTGGGCTGGGGAGTGACTGGTGGGTGGAAAACCAGGAGACAGTGGCATCCTGGAAGGTGAGAGGTAAATTTATTGTTAGCCTGACTGGCCAAAAGGAAGACACCGTGGCAGCCGGTCACTTCCATTTTTGGATAGTGAAGGGGGAGGAGGTGGATTTAACAGCAATGATGGTGGTAGCAAGACGGAACAACACATTAAACCTCCCCTCCTCAGGAGACTATTTATTCCTGCAAAGCTGCTGGTGCAGATTGATGGTTCTGAACCAATGCAACACATCAAAATCACCTGGAGAGCTTCTTATAAACACAAATACTATCCTCCTTCTAGAGGTTCTGATCCAGGAGGTTCAACATAAGGCTGGGCGTGGGATTCAGCATGTGCTCTGGGTGTGGACCTCATGCTGGACGGACCCCAGGCTGTGGCTGTATATGAGGCCGGGAGCCATTTCCTTCCCTGCACCGTTCTCTACCCTCTGGTGCCTGCCCTCGGGCCTAGGTGATCTGTGATGTTCCCTGGTGGAGATCTGATAGGGGTTGTTCTCAGAAAATTGAATACCAAGTAATCTCTTTTCCCTTTTAATTATAATTCTCACTGTCAGTATTTTTCCTTTATGCTTAACATAAATAATGAAAACAAAAATTAATATGTAGCTTTTATATAATTCTAGTTCCTAATAACTATCTCTAATTTGTTAAATATAAGGGCAACCTTTAGGGCAAGTTGCTGCCATCATGGTCTTATTTTAGAATTGGTTACTATATTATTTATTTATTTTTCTTGAGACAGGGTCTCCTCTCTCACCCAGGCTGGAGTGCAGTGGTACAATCACAGCTCACTGCAGCCTTGACGTCCTGGGCTCAGGTGATCCTCCCACCTCAGCCTCCCGGGTAGCTAAGACTACAGGTGTCTGCCACCATGTCCAGCTAGTTTTTGTATTCTTAGAATTTGTATACCGTTTGTAGAGCCAGGGTTTCACTGTATTGCCCAGGCTGGTGTCGAACTCCTGGGCTCCAGTGATCTGCCCGCCCTGGCTTCCCAAAATGCTGGGATTATAGGTGTGAGTCACTGCACCCAGCCAAAAATATGGGTACTCTATAAAATTTAAGTATTGTCATGTATAAGAGCTGGACAGTCTTAAAAATGATTTCTCCAATGTGCTTATTATGTGGAAGCCGAGGTCCAGAGGGGAAATAACTTGCCCAGGTTGCATAGCAGATGCTGGCGGCAGAACCAAGTCTGGGAGAGCTCAAAGAAGGACCAGCCTCCAGGGCACTGGCCAGCTTTCCACTCACCACTCTCTTCTAGCCATTTGTCTTGAAGTATGACACCAATTAATGTCTGCAGAGAAATGATATCTTGGAGGCCCCTCCCTTTTTTCCTTTA